TGGCTATATGGTCCAGCGATTGCATCACAGGGTGAGTAGGAACTATTGACTATATAGTCAATGGTAAGAACAGAAAGTGACACATTGGAAAATAGAGTTTAGCATCATCCGTAAACCTCTGTTACAATCACCCACTGCAGATGTGATTTTTTACTTTACACTTTACACAACCGCCATTGAAGCGCCGTCAATGAGTGGGGCCTTGTTTCTAAGCTATTGGCGACGATCATTAATAAATTGAAGTTTCCCAGCCGTATACCTACAACACTGATTCAATTGTCTTCTATCTGGTTATCAAAACTCCAGAACAATTTTAAACACAAAGAATCTCTGGTTCCTGACCTGGATGATGCCTAGTTATTTAATTTAATTTACCGTTACACTATATTATACCACTTGCGATTAATTAAATCCTTTATGTAAGAAGAACGTTTTTATTCTCACAGTCACTTGGATGGGATTTGGCTTCAAAACGTGATCGGAAATGGTTGCGGTATTTGTAAACAACATTTGTAAACATATCAGTGACAGCTAGAAAAAATAATCTTGATCCGAACAGCTGTTCGTTATTTCATAGATGATTATGTGATAAAAATTTGGAGGAAAACTTGACAAAAATCGCACAAAACTGCATTTTTAAACGTCCGTAATTTCATTTACAAATTATTGAGGCCATATTTTAATGGCTAAAGACACTCTCGCCAATCCAGTGAATACATTAAAATGGCTTGGATCTTGATATGAACTCTTGTTTTCCTGGAGAAGATTGCGTAAAATGCCATCTCGAGTGTTACAGACAGACATTTAATATATATTATACAATAAATAATTTAATATATAACAAATATTTATATAACTTAAATATTTAAATATTTAGATGAGACTTGGGTACTTTCCTGTTAAAGGGAAGATTCATTATTATCGATGATTTTTTTCGATATATCGATATTTTTGTTTTCCGATCCATTACAAATTGACAACTGATCGTGTTTAGGCTAAAATAGTCTATTATACGGATTAAGAAATGAAACTGTTCTAAGCTAACCTAACATAACCAACAAAACTAGCCGTACTTAAAAAAAAATTCCTTTTGATAACAGAAATGCAAATTAAACACCGAATTTTTAAATGTTACACAAGTTTGGTTAGTTATGTTAGGTTTTTTTTTTAAACAGTTTCATTTCATTATTGTTTGTTGATACTGAACAATGTTTATCATAGTTGTCAGCTGATATTTTCAATTTGTTAATATCGATATATCAAGAAAAAAATCATCGATAATAATGAATGTTCCCTTTAACAGGAAAGTACCGAGACTTGTTTTGGCTTCTTTAATGTATAAAACATAAAAATAACCTAAAAATTTATGATTCTGAGCAATGTACAGACAAAACTCTAATTTTATTTATATAGATTGGCATAAAAGCCGTTTTTAATAAAACACTATATATATTTAAACTTAAAGTATATCGGTCCCGGCTCCAGGTCTTACCGTGCCACCTACGGTAATAGCTACTTCCTTCCCTATAGGGAAATTCGCTAATACTTTCAACAACAGATGTTTGCCTTTAATCTATTTTCCTAGAGTTTAATAATGTTATTATTTCCCAGAATAGGACAAATTTAACTAACGGTACCTACATATTTGTATCTACAGGGTTGTGAAAAAGTATGGACAACCCCTATTAACTTTTTTATGGCTTACACCAGGATAACCAAACTTTGTACACATAAAAGTGCACTTTTTGTTGGTATCCCAATTTCCTTCGAAACCCCAAAATGGGTTATTTTGGGGGTAACTCAAAATCTTTAAATGCAAAGCCCCATCAAGTGGCACTTCATTTTAAATACCATTAGCTTAAAAGAATATTAGCGAAAACTTGAGGTCTCTATCTCAACCCATTACAGAATGGCGACCTTTTTATTTTTCACTAGCCTCAGAGACCCCATGTAAAAATATTATTTAATTTATTATTAATTTGTTGGCCTACACCAATATCGCCTATTTACGTTTTTATGGGTTGTACCAAGGAAACTATACTTATTATTACTGTAACAAGAAACTAATAAAAATTACTTTTTGGTTGCTAAGACAATTATGCCCGGGCCCCAAAATGGGGTATTTTGGGGACAGCTCAAAATTTATAAACATAAAACCCTATCAAGTGACACCTCATTTTGAAGGCCAATTGTTTAAAAGAATATTGGTGAAAACTAGAGGTCTCTATTTCAACCTAATTCAAAATGGCGGCAGTTTTTAGTTTTCAGGCCTGTGATGCATTTAACATTTTTGAGCTGTCCCAATGTCGTTTTGGGGTTCCCAGTAGAAATTGTGGAAATTGGTTGGAATTTGGGAAAGCCCCGTGGAAACTGTGTAAGTAAAACTGCCCTAGGATTTGAAAAAATAAAAAACTAATTTTCCTCAAACCTCAAATATCCAAAAGACAAATGTTAACTTCTTTTAAAATTGTTGTCCACTGGTGACCAAAATAATTAAGGCATCGTGGATCCAAATTTATTTGTTGTTGATTCTTAAATTAATGATGTTAGTAATGAAGGTTGATGTTTGATAAGACAAGGGTTTAAAAAAGTGGATAAACCATTCATATATAAGCGTCCTCTAAACACTATTTGGCTTTAGATTCAATAGGTTGAGGACAACATAATACAAATACCTAGTCATAATAAATGAATAAATAAACTTGTGTTCAATCCATTGAACTGTTTTCATGCAGTCCTCTTTTCAATCAGCTCACAACCCAAATTTCAATTTTTTGACAGATTTGATGATTGAATAAGAAGTCTTCTTGCAGTGTCCAAAGTAAATTATAACTAACTTACACAAGCACAATATTACAGATCTAGATTGAGTGGGTGGAGGTATCATATAAGCTCTGTGATGCAAGAGAAACAAGTTGTAATGGATACAGTGCTGATGAAAACTGATGACTTCATATCTATTTTGCATGTATGCCTAACTCTTTTAGTTGTAATAGGAAAATGGAAATTAAGTCAATGTGTGCTGGAAAAGGAAGTAGGCCTAAGTAGTTTAAGCCTTCGTATATAGATTGTATTGTGTGCCCTCGTAAGCATTTGCTCAAACAACTTTATTAATGAGCTTCTTAATACACCCATGCCGGCTTCAGGCCAAACAAAGCTATGTGTATCTGATGCCTGTTTATTTTTGCATCCATTGTGCTACACTAGATCACTTTGAAGTAGAACTGCAGGTTAGACAAAACAAAAAGTATTGACTGTAACAGAATACACAGGCTTGGCACATTACACGGTCCCATTCCTGACCACCTCTTTTGTTCCAAGCTGCTTCATTATTATTTGTCGTGACTTACATGCAGGAGTTATTCTTGACTTAATTTGTGGTGATGAATTAACAGAATGGTAAAAACAAAAGATTTGCGAGATATTTCCTTCAATATATCCATAAAACCATATGCAGTTTTACCAAGTTTCCTTTTACTAATTAACTCACTATAACCCCCAAGCTTAGGATATCTCACGATATATGACTGTCTTATGTTCACCTTCCAGCCATAAAGGACTACAGTACATTGCCTTGGTAGCCAAATGTTTACAGTGCTCCCCTCAAATCTTAAATTTTCTAGTTTGATTCCAAGTGAGACAGATTCTGGGCCTGAGGTGCCAATTATCATGGGGCTAATGATGCTGTCGAACTAAAGGTCAACACTAGATAGTAACAAGCCTAGGTTTTGGACAATTCCCTTACAAAACTTATAAAATGGCTATGGTAACTAAAACACAAATAAAATATTTAGACATAGTCATTCGAGTGTTAGTAGAAAATATCATGCCATCAATTTATTTTCATGTTTCCTTTTACAGAATATGAGGAGTTCTACTGTAAATTAAATTCTTAACTATGTTATTTCTAAGTTAACTGTAAAAAAGGACCAAGTGGTCAACTTGATTGTCTCAAAATATAAAAAATTGATATGTTTATGTAAATCCTTCTTACATACTAATGATGGTTTTGATTTGTACCTTAGTTTTCCCCAAAAAATATATTTTAAATTTGTTTTTGGAATTTCTGTACTGGATACAAATGGCAGTAAGTAAACTATTGCTACATCCTCTATCCAGTTTCCTTTTAAGAATCTTCATCACCCCTCTTATAAAAAGGCAAAACCTGTCTTTGAATTAAGCTGTTAATGACACTAACTGTAGTGACAGGATAAAAAAAAGTGTTTTCTTGTGGTGAAAGCATCTTTACAAGCCCCACTATAATAAGAGACCATAAAAAGAGTGTCGAAACTGATCGATATTCAGACAACCAAGGATTACGTTGGCAACAAAAGGTATTTAACCTCTAGAATAGTAATTGTTAAGTAATCCTGAAGGCAACGCCCAAAAAATGTATGTAATCACTAAAACTTGTAGATCTACATTTTATAAAAAATATTTTTTGTATTTGTCAGGTTTCCATGATACTAAAACCATACTATACTCCGTTAACAAAATTTAGAGGGTTTAAGGGGAAGTTTCCCCACTACTTTTTTTACTTATTATATATGTAGCAGCTGGTAGTTTGACCAATAAAATGTAATATAATAAAGGCTACAGATCTAAAAACGTTTAGCCATAAAGGTATTATGTGAGGCTGAATTGTTCTGGTTGACTCTCAAAGACAAGAAATAAATAGAAAAGGAGGAGTAGTTATGAGATCGATATATCTGTGGCTTGGTATCCAGGGGTAGAAAAGTTTGTTGCTGCACTTGCGTAGGCGCAGAGTCACGTCTACTCAGTTATGTGTTTGGTGATGTTTCCAGAATGGTTTGCGCAATGACCCTGCAGTACCCACTCTACACACAACCGTACCCCCAATGTGATAACGCAACTATTTAAAGGGCTGCAATTTCTGAGTAGAGTGCTGAACCACAAAAACGTCTTAACAGTTAATAATCTTAATTAATATGTAGTTTCTACTGTTTCCCCCTCAGTTACCGTGTCTGGGTGTGTTGCAGAGTCGTGGGTGGAGTTCTCCGGACAGACCACACCAGTAGAAAGAGTGCTGAGTCCAATCAACACAGGTCACTCCAGCCCTGAACGTATGATACCTCTGCCTTTCGCCTCAGGGGAAGAGTACCTTCGGTTGCTGCATGAGGCTCAGAGAGAAAGCTACAGTGGTTCATATGTCAGCTCCAAAAATGGAAGGTACATACAGGGTGGCAATTAACTCTATAGACGATAGCTTAACTGTAGTGACATAATGTAAGTTTGGAACCACTGCAAAGTAACTTACATTAAAAACAGTTGGAATAATCTCTGCAATCGCCCCTTCTAAGGGTAAAAGGGTAAACATGCACCCACAGTACACTATTCACTCTGAGTTATATTATTACATACATTTACATGTACATGAAAGTTATTAGAAAAATATAGTTTTCTTCTAAAAATTTAGTAAAGCATGAGGAAGCCTATAATCCTAGGCAGGAATAGGAAGGGATTAAAAGTGATGATTTCTCAATGTATTAGAAATATTTAGGCTAAACCTTTTATAATGCTTTTAAACTTTCCCTCCTTTTTTCTCTACTATTTGACATTTATGTGAATAGTGCTTGTTAACATTATAAGCACTGATTTTCAGGGCTGTATCTTGAAACTCTATATTGCTCCCAGCCAAGGGCGGTAAAGTGGGTTGTCACCCCCAAAATGTTTTTAACAGAAATACCATTATATACTAAAGGGGAACTTTAAAATTTAAACTTTGATTGCAAATTGTTCGGTCAAATTCATTGTAGACTATATTCTTGCTGGTGTCTCCGCCCTCAGGCCCTCCATTTTTATTGGGGGTCAGTAGGAAAGTTACACTGAGGAAAATTTGTTACTGGGAATTGATTTTGCACTTAAAATACCAACGCAAATCAACAGTAATAAATAATAAAGTGGTTAAGAAACCGTTATAGGGGTTTCTATACCTATTTGGGGGGGGGGGGGTTGAAATAGTTTTTTTAGTTTCAAACCTTAGACTAAAAACCTTAAAAATGTTAAGTCCCATGCAATATAGACATGGATTTAATACTATTATGGGGGTTACAATATTTTTAAGGGGGGGGGGGGTTAAAATGGTAAAATTACACATTCCTAGAATATTTTGGGTTTTAGGTCCATAGACCAACAATGCTGCTAAATGTCAAAGATATAGGACATCTAAAAGTTACTTCTAGTATATTGCGTGTGTAGTGGCTATTAAAAGGGGGAATTGTTTGGGGGGGGGGGGGGTTGTAAGTATGGTGCTTTTAAGAATAATTTCTTAGTTTCAACCTAAGACATATAAACTAACTTGCAAAATTTAAAGTTCCATGCAATATGCTTGCTGCCTCTATGATGTGTCCCTAGGTAAGGCTCAACATTTAACCTCAAGGTACCAGTAAATCAAACTTCCACACTTATTTATCTTTTAAGTCTGCTCTGAAGTACTGTCCACTATATTCGTATCGTCTCTCGTATCCTCCGGCCACTAAATAGCACTATTAGGCTGTGGTTTCCTAGACGCATAATAGATGCGCTGCGTGTGCGCATCTAAGACTCCACTTGTCTTATGGAGTTTCGTGTAAGCGGTTTCCAAGGCTGCGTATCTAATGCTGCGTATTTGACCAACTGCTTTCAGAGCAGTCGAATCTGAGTTACGCTGCGTGTTAGACATATCTTGTGCAATGGATTCAAAAGTAAATGTTGTCCAGAAGGCAAAATTCTCCAACAACGACAAAAAATTGATTGAATTTGTCTCTTCTAATGACATACAAACTATTATGGAAGTACATACGTACTTCCATAACGTACTGTTATGGAAGTACGTTGTTAATACAATTAAAATTTTTATAGTATTACATTTCATATCAATCGTTATGTAGTGTTAATTTCCCATAATGTGTAATTTTCATATTTAATTCCCCTATTACATGTTCCCTACAATTAATTTGTCCTCACATATTTTCTTATTGCTGTAATTTGTAAATAATCCTAATGTTGACAAATATTCTTTTCCAGTCAGCACAACACCAACTCCCAGAGCCCCCATAATTATTTTAAGAACCCCTGAACATCTTAGTAATAAGCTTATATCAATTACTAGCAGAGTACCTTCCTACTTACGGGGTTGGCGTATAAGTATAAAATGCTTATTGGTGTTATACTCGTAAAAGGTATTTTTGTTGATTCGGTAAATCCCGAATAGTATTATATATAATAAAATTATATATAATAACAGTAAAAGCAAAGTTGGAGAGGCTAAATTAAGATTTATTGTTTACATTTTAAATTGACATGTTTGCTTTAATACTACGGTTAAAACATCCGTGATGGCCACGTACAGTACCTAATCATGTACTTTTCACTGCTCACGCTTCTTCGAAGCTTTTAATACCAAAGTATCCATTTCATTATCTAAATCATCGTTTAACATCATAGTAGCCACTAGTAATCTCTCCCGTGAACTTATGTTACGCACAAACCGTGTGTATTGTACGCAGTCTAGGAAACCACTCACGGCGTCTGCGTTTTTGGGACCTGGATAAAAGCTGCAGCGCATCTAAACCGCTGCGCATCTATTACGCATCTAGGAAACCACAGCCTTATCCATTTATGAAATGAAAACAAAAGTCAGAAGGCAGTAGATTATGAGTTCTTTATTAGGAGATGAGACAAGAAAGTTAAATCAAAAGAAAACTGATCAAAGTTAATTAATATTATATAAACCTGTTTTTCTTACATGAAAAATTCTTTACAATAATCTTGTTTACAACTGTTAATAGTAAGAATTGGTTGAGTCATCTTATTACATGATAGGGTTTTTAACTTTCTTTAATATCTTATTACTTGAACTTTGGTCATTTTTACATTGGATTAGGCACGTGTCCAAGATTATTAGTCTTGATTGTATTGGTCAAGGCAAAATATTTGTTTGATAAGATTCAACAACTGCCCTAGAGTAAGATTTTTTTGCCTTTGTTCCTTTCAATCATATAGTCACTCTTTCAACTAATGTTTAAAAGTTTCATTAAGTGCATGATTATATGGGCTGTTACGGTTATAATGCTGTGGTATTTAATATTCTCTCAAGAAAAATAAATTTATCTCACGTTATTACGTGCATTTTGCTGTGATAATATCATAATCAATAAAGTTTTATTATGGTTATTTGAAGTGTGGTTTTCACTCTTCAGTTTAAATTTGACTTTAAAACACCAAGAAACCTAAGGCCCAAATTACAAATACAATAGTTGAAAATTACACACCATGTTATTGAATGTTTTCTATACACTCTAGGCCAATATAGTTGCTAAGCACACACTCTAGGTATATAGGTATACACTATAGGCACATTAATTGCCAATATAGTAGGTATGTTAGTGAAATATGTTAAGAGAATTTTCAATTTTACATGATTTTACCAAAAAATGAATTTTTTTAAAATTAGATATAAAAATGATGATAAATAGTTTTGACAAAGAATGTAGGACCTTCGGGGGCTTGAACGTGGCAATTTTAAACTCATCCTAACGCATATGCTGGTACAAACATGAAAAGATATAGGTGTAAACTGGTGGAGTTCACAGTAACAACTAACCTCGTCAATGGCTTACAGTGACCCAATGTATTTTTGATTGTTTGTACGCTGCCTGTCGTTTGTAAAGTCGGCGTTCGAAGTGATCGTGTTAAACGTGTCTTCCCCACAGTGAAAACAAAAATTAGCCTACTTTGAAATATTTGTTAGAATAATTTAGCGGCTCATTCCTTTTCCAATATGTTTAGGTCATTGGTTATTTGATAATGTATATGACGTGTTCTGTATACAATGTTACATAATATGTTGTGCAATGTAATGTGTTCTGCATAAAACATCTATAATAAACGAGCAGAGTACCCATCCTTCGTACGGGGTTGACGTATAAGTATAAAATGCTTGTTGCAGTAATACACGAGCTTTTTGTGTTTGCAATGGCGGAGGACACGGTTTGAGAAAATTTGGTTCTTTTAATTTACGGTATGCTATAATATAATACATCTTCCATAATAATGTTCTACCTACCTCTGCACCTAAACAACAGAAAAAAGTAGATAACCAAAATTCTCTCAATATCACAAATTATTTATAAATCAAAAAAATGAGCATAACTGTAAACAATCCTATTTTGTCAGTTCAGTTCCCATTGTGTATCACAGCTTTTTTTTTGCTACTTGGTTCAAATTAGCTGTTGTCATAAATGAAAAAAAAAATAGTGCTGAACCCTATTGGTAAACCCTAAAACTTTTTAATGCTATTGAATATCATAGAACCAAAGCTGTGTAGTTGAAACAGCTAGCAAAATTCTTTAGTTCATTTTAAATGTGAATACTGATAAGGTTAACATGGAAATCTCCAGAGCAACTGGGGCGGAGCCTGAATGGGTCTTTGAGATAAGAGTATGTCTATATGTTAATCTGGAACGTAAGCTATCATCATACCAAATTTTGGCTCAATCTGATCAGTATTTACTGCGTGATTGAACTTTAAAAAAAAAAAAAACTCGTAAACTTTCACATTTATAATATTAGTAAGATAAGATTAGATGTATAGACCTGCAACAATTTGCTATTTTTAAAGGTGTAAGATTTAAATTTACTTATGCAGATAATTCATTATCATTTCAGCTCATTTTTTTATATAGCATTAGACATATTCCCTACTGCATAGAGCTTATGATTTAGAGTGCAAGACATTAGGTGAAATCCATAATTTTATAACATGGATTCTCTCACTGCAGTACAAAGAAATAAATATACCATTGTGTGGCTTGAGAAGTAATTAATTGAAGGCAAAAAGTACTTGCCTGTTGATTGGCAAGAGGGGACTGCTGTTATCAAGGTCACACTGTTTATTATTGATACTCATTATCTCACCATGATAAGCAGCCCATATCTAGTAAATAGCTATCATTGTGGGCATCAAGTAAATAAAGCCACCACCTGATGAAATAATGTTCTATAATTATGTTTTATTTCTTAATATAAATAGCTTCTTGATCAGCACTGTACGTGTTATTAAATTACCTGAAAGTACAAAATATTGGAGTGTCCAATCAAAATTGACCACCACTTACCACCTTTTACTGTATAATTATTTACCGTCTTGCAGGGCCGTATTTAGAATTGATGAGGCCCCCGGCGACTCTCACCAGAGAGGCCCCTCTATCTTCTGATTCTTCGAAGGTTTGAACTTAAGGGTTTAAAAATACACGTGGTATTGCTTCAACACGATGAATTGACCTTTTGTTTCCAACTATCTGATCGACAAAAAAATAGGAGACTAGCTAATAAATAAGTCTATTTTTTTTAATGATAATATTAAGGGTCTTAGGTCGGGGCCAATCATTTTCATTTCTTTTGGGTTGAGTAAAAATTTGTAATCGCGGCCAAATTGTATGCATCTTCTACACCACTACAAGCTGTCTTCTTCACAGTAAAATTGTGGACATCTGCTACGGTCGCGGATGGATCCTGAACATTATGCGCGATCACTGAGATGTTATCTTCGTTTTCTGTTATGGGGCAAAATTATGAATGTCTCCTATGGCCGCAGAGAAATATTTAACAACTTGCGCGAGTGTGGGGACGTCATCTTCGTCTCCTCCGATCGCGGCAGAATATCATGAACGTCACATGTGGCCGCGGAGAAATAATGAACATCTTGCATAATAGCGGAGATGTCATCTTCGTTTCCTCCGATCGCAGCGGAAAATCATGAATGTCTCATGTGGCCGCAGATAAATAGTTAGTAATATCTTGCGGGAGCGTGGAGACATCACCTTCCTCACCTGCAATCATTACGAAAACTTGAAGATCTTGCCAGTTTGCGCGGACATGATATTCGACTTCAACTCCTGTGGTAGCGATAAAATGCTGGACATCTTTACGCGATCATGGCAAAACAAATTATCGGTGAAATACAGGGATTTATTGTTCCCTTGTTAAATATACACAAAAAATTGAGGCCCCATTTGAAGCCCCGGCAACCGCCGTGTCCACCTTTAGGGAAATATGGCCCTGCCGTCTTGTGAGTCAACAGTACAAGTGTAAATATTTTATTACAAAAGTAATTAGACGTATTTTGTACTTTCAGATTATTTATATCCTTAATTGTGTTGATTTATCCAAATTATAGATGTTATCCTTTACTTAATATCACAAAAAAAATACAGTTATCAGAATACTTTTGTTCAAAATCATGGTTTCAATCTTAGTTTCAAAATTGGATCCTCAATTGTTATGATTGATGGCATGAGGTCAAGGTTAAACAGCACTAATTCTATCTTACTATTTTCAGTCCAAAATCACCACCAAACAGTCCAAACACTGAACTAGCGAATGGAGAAGAATTCAAAGGTGTTTACATCAATTACACATACAAGGTAATTAATTGTGTTATACATTTTGTTGGGATAATCTAATTTCAGTCTATTTCCATCTCAGTGTCATTTCAGTAATTGTTTTTGGAGTGTTTGTTGCACCTTATTATTAGAAGTACATTTATCACAGCCTCAGGCCATGCTTAAGATAATCTAAAACAATATTGTACTTGTTTATATTTCTTGCATGAAGATGTCCTCATTTCATCAAGATAATTTCAAATATCTGTATCATTATGTTTAACTTAACAATTGACTAAATTTAACTGATTTTAGTGAAAAATATTTATTTCTATCAGCAATAAGGAGTTGTTTTTTTCATTGAATAGTATATTTTCTTTCATTTTTCAAAAGTTTACTGAATTGTATTCTAATAAATCTATTTAAACCTTACAAAACAGTGATTTTTGTCAACATGAATAGGTAGCAATAAGTTGAAGAACTTCAAAGAAATACACCAAGAAGCTCTGGTCTTAAACACTTTATAGAATCTACTTTTACAAAAAATTAGACTGCAATTTTAGGGAAACTGTCAATGCAACCATGATGGTTAATGATAGGAATGTTTGTGTATTGTAGACATGGCTATGAATAAAAGTAACAACTCATGACCCAGTGCCAAAATGAATGATTTATCCCTATATAATGGAGATCCTTGGCTCTAATCCAGGTTAAATGTCTCATTCTCACTCCACTTCCTGACAGCTACAGGGACAAGAATTTGACCTCTCTTCAAGGAACCTCTAAATGAAAAGCTATAACTCTTACCATAAAGACTAGTTATACAGGGTGTCTCAGACCACCCGGCCGGCTTGTATAGCTCCAATATGAAAGCAAATGGAAACCTAATTGCAACTGGAACCCCCTATTTTGACCCCAAGGAATTCAGCTAAATTATTTTCAACCCCAAAAAAGCACCCCAAAGGGCAGATTTTGGGGGGTGGGGGTGGTTTTTGGGAAATTTTCAAATGTAAAGGGGGGTCGTGTTATACCTCTTTTTAAAGGTCCTTTAGTCCTGAGTATTTTAGTGGAAAAAGATTTAAATTATCTTCATCCCTATTTACAGGGTGTTCAAAAACGTACAAAAAATAGACCTTTGAACTACTTTTCACTGTAAAGAGGTGGAATTTCGTGGGGGGTTCAAATTTTGATAACACTTTAATTAATAAATGAGCTTTCAAAAAACTCTGGTTTTAACCCTTTTGCTATCTTTTTACTTATGTTACGCATTTTCAAACTTTTTGAAGTTTCAAAAGCTGTTATCTCAAAAATTTCAAATGGCAACATGGGTTTCATTACAAACTACATTGTAGCCCTTAAAATTTGCTATAATTTTTGTATTTAATGTTTTTTGGTATCTTCATTGGTTAAAGAGATATAGCGAAATTAGTGTATTTTAATGTTTTATTAAATGGTATCCAAAGTATTTGCTGTTGTAATTGTACACGTCTAGGTCTCAATTAAAACTAATTATGTTAAAAAATTAAAATACTACCCAGATTGTTAAACTTGGAGGATTAATAAAGGAAAAAACACAACTGCAAATATTCTTAGTTATTTAATAATTTACAAAAGTCTAATAGTGCTTTGAATGAATACTGTCTATAAATGCTACTGGTAAATAAAAAAAAATCATCATGCAATCAATGAGCGTGTGCGTGAAACTGGTCACGTTTGATCAGATAAAACAAATTACAAATTACAAATTACAATTTACAAATTAGATAACTTACTGGATCTGTACGAGAGGTGAATGCACCTGCGGTAGTAAAATAGCAATACAGTACCATAATAGTGGAGAAGAAGTACTACGTGCATAAACAGAGTTGGGGTTTGCATGGAACAAAATGGAAGGCAATTTAAGCATTTGTAGAAGTCCATCGGTATGTAGGCTATTAATGCTGATTCAAACTAATTATTCATTCAAAGCACTATTAGATCAATGGAATTGTAAAATAACTAAGAATATTTGTAGTTGTGTTCTTACCTTTATCAATCTTCCAAGATCAACAATCTGAGTACTATTTTATTTTTTTAGACAAGATTTGTTTTAATTGAGACCTAGAGGTGTACATTTACAACAGCAAACACTTTGAATACCATTTAATAAAACATTAAAATACACTAATTTCGTTATATCTCTTTAACCAATGAAGATACCAAAAAACATTAAATACAAAAATTATAGCAAATTTTAAGGGCTACAATGTAGTTTGTAATGAAACCCATGTTGCCATTTGAAATTTTTGAGATAACAGCTTTTGAAACTTCAAAAAGTTTGAAAATGCGTAACATAAGTAAAAAGATAGCAAAAGGGTTAAAACCAGAGTTTTTTGAAAGCTCATTTATTAATTAAAGTGTTATCAAAATTTGAACCCCCCACGAAATTCCACCTCTTTACAGTGAAAAGTAGTTCAAAGGTCTATTTTTTGTACGTTTTTGAACACCCTGTAAATAGGGATGAAGATAATTTAAATCTTTTTCCACTAAAATACTCAGGACTAAAGGACCTTTAAAAAGAGGTATAACACGACCCCCCTTTACTTTTGAAAATTTCCCAAAAACCACCCCCACCCCCCAAAATCTGCCCTTTGGGGTGCTTTTTTGGGGTTGAAAATAATTTAGCTGAATTCCTTGGGGTCAAAATAGGGGGTTCCAGTTGCAATTAGGTTTCCATTTGCTTTCATATTGGAGCTATACAAGCCGGCCGGGTGGTCTGAGACACCCTGTATTAATAGTTTTCTTCCCAATTCAGAAATGAGATAAAAGTAAAATGTATAGAAAGATATGTCAAAATAAAATAGCTAACCAATACAATTAAAACAATCAATTATAGGTTGGTTGGTAGTGCAAACAAAGTACTCTGATGAATCTTACGAAAAAGTATAGTTAATCTTGTTATCCTGATTTTTAGAAGACAAATAATATTTCCTGATTTTTTAAATCAGTAACATAATGTTCTGTCATTGAAATATATAAGCCTCACTTTCTAACTAAGCTGGTAAGGTAACACACCCTTATTAAACAGTTTAATTCATTGTTTGCTGTGATATGAACAGGATGAAGTGTTTTACAAATTTGGTTATTTCATTTTAAGGGTTTACTGTACTTTTTTCATCCTGTGAAAAACAGTGTGGCTTTTTCGTATCATAACAGTTTTATATCTAGCCGCATTGTGAGTCAACTCAGAGAAATTGTGTGGCAATTGACCTGGATTACATTCTCAGGGTGATTTGTTATCGAGGGGTTTCTTATCAAGGTTCTACTGTACACCTGTAATTTAAAGTGTTAAATCAACATTTATAAAGTATATGTACGTGTACAACTTATGTAGACTACCTAGTAATATACTAGCACCCTTGTGTTGTATGATGAATATTCACTACTAGTTGCCTTTACCCTGTTGGTTGGAAAGTGACACATACAGAATAGTAGTCTTATCATGTTCAAACTTTACATTTCCGTGTACTGTTAACTTCCTCTTCTCTCACATGAACCTTGAGTCTTATTTCCCCACAAACAAGGGCTTAAACTATATTGTGCAACTGTCAACCGTATTGGTTTGGTTATTTAAGAGTTAATTTCAAATTATTAAATCCCAATTTTTTAAAGCATTTTGAGTAAACTTATCCCTCTGGGAATTAATCAAACCCCCTTAAATAATAGCCTTGACAACAGTTACTCAATGAGACTGTAGCATGCCATTACAGTTTCCGTGTTTTAAGAATTAATTTAATTTTAGTCAAGATTAGGCTGATTTAGATCTGCTGATATGATGATCTGTACTTGTCCACTGACTAATAATTTTCATTGTTTAGAATTTAGAATAACTGTTCCTACTGTTCTGGTCAAGATCTCATTACGATAAATTTCCCAGTCTTGAGAAAACTAACATGATTACAGAACCTATTCAAAAACTTGAACTTCATGTTCTTTTATGAAATTTTTAATTTAAATTTATAAATCAGAAAATGTTGAATTGTCTAAATAATTTAGGCTACAGTAGGTTCGTTTCTTGTGCCCTAGATTTGAATTTCAGAGTAGTTAGCCTATCTCAGTAAAAATGAAAAATATGTTTTTTACTTTTTACAACCAATGTACTTTACATACTTTGGATCAGCTAATCACTTCTAAACAAAGGATGTGATACTATCATCCTGTTTTGGGGTCAATACCATTATCCTCAAGATAATAAAATTAGCACTCAGTCTGCTTGGCCCAGTTGTGTTTTATCACAATAACTGTTTAACAACCAAGTTTGTCCTTTTGTCAATTGACGATTTATTTGATAAATTTAAAGAATAGTTTTTATTCCAAAATTAAGGATCTTAAGGAACAAGTGAGTCTGGTTTTTTATGGGTTCAAACCACACTCAGCTTTCCTTTATCCTTGGGCTTTTTTATAAATGGATGATCCTCGATAATGAACCAGCTGAACTTGGTCAGTAAGAAAGCTGTCATCTCATTGTTCATTCATGATGGTGGAAAGAAATCTATGTTAAGCATGTTTTAATTACGCAAACCATTGTTGGTTGAAAGAATATTGAGAAGTTCCTCTTCTATCAAAATTGTGTTGAAAAAGTATGGATTTATGTAACATTAAACTACTTATAACCTCTTCAAAGAACAGTGTTCTTCATTTGTACTAGTATCAACCTCATAAAAGCAATTGTTGAGTCAGTAAGACTCTGGAGGAGTTGTACAAATTACTCTACTGGTTAGTGTAGGACTTGTGTTAAAAAACCATGCTCAAATCCCATTTAATCAACCACCAGCTCACAGTTTCAGCTGGAATTTATCATGCATTGCCTGGAGTCCCCCTCAAACTTTATTATACGTCTCTAGGCAAGGATAACTACATTGGAGGTATTAAAACTCTCTATTAAAACCACACAAAACTGATTTTTAATCAGGGATATTCTCTGTTCTCTGAAGTTTGATCAAAACTTCAAAATCTTGTTATACATTTAAAAAATGGCTTCACAGATGGACCAAATAGGCAGGAACCCTCTAGGGTATGCCTACTTGCCTTGTAGTCTGTAGATTATATTATACTTAGTAATATAGTATTTAAATTACCAGGATGGAGATTTTGTGGCAGTTGATCGCAACACAGACTGGATTTGGGATTGGAGCAGCCGACCTGACCAGACACCCCCCAAGTAAGATTTAAAACATAATTGTTTTATCTTATGTATTATACTCATTTCAACAAATTTAGGTGGTTGTAGGGAAAGAAATCCATCCCCTCCACTTGATCCTACCAAAACAATAAATAGCTCAGTAGCTGAGGTTTGCCAAAATATCAATCAGCTGTAACATATACCATAGAACCCCTCACATCCGACCTCAGCATAACCGACTCCTTGGGATATCTGACCTAGTGTGGCTGATCACTCACGGGTGTTGCCATAATCACGGCAGACGACCACTGCTGTTGCTGAGAGAGCAATATATGATTACGGATGTTGCCGCGATCTCGGAATAAGATTAGGCTTACCGATGTTGCCGTGACCACATGATATCCTCATAAGTGTTGCCATGGTCTCAGAAGGCGATGACCGATGTTGCTGTGACCACAAGATCCTCACGGGTGTTGCTGAGATCGTGGGAGACGATTTGGCCTGCTGATGTCGCTGTGACTCCAAGGTATCCTCACAAGTGTTGCCGCGGTCTTGGAAGACAATGACCGATGTTGCCGTGACCTTGTGGACTGATAACCTTACCAGTGTGGCTGCGATTGCGGTAGACGATTTTCCATGTTGCAGCGATCACGGGAGGCGATTACTAATGTAGCTGTGACCTCAACATCTTCACGGGTGATGTCGCGATCGCAAAGACGATTACCGGTGTTGCCGTGATGGTAGGTATGCTCACGGGTGTTGCCGAGTGCGGAAGATCTGCTCCTCCCGATATCTGACCTTTTGGCCCGTTACCGTCATGGTCGGATATTGTTGGTATTGCTATAACCAGCTGATCACTAGTTGTTGATTTTCATGTTATGTTATGAATTTGAATAAAAAACACTATCTTGTTTAGAAATGATTATTTAATTAAAATAGTTTTATTAATACAGACATGAAAGCAGAACCGTGGACGCCTGGCGTAATAGTATCTGTGGATGGGTTGAGAACTTACATTGTATCAATTGAAGGAAGATTATTTAGACGCAATAGAAGATTTATTCGTCCATTTAAAAGTTAAAGAGGGAGATGTTGGTATTGCTATAACCAGCTGATCTCTAGTTGTTGATTTTCATGTTATGTTATGAATTTGAATAAAAAACACTATCTTGTTTAGAAATGATTATTTAATTAAAATAGTTTTATTAATACATAAAAGAACAGATATAAAGAGTTCTACTGTATTAAGCAAATAAAAATGGCTTAGGGAATTTTCACCTAATCGGCCTAAGTTTTGTGAACAGAGTATAGTGATTTAATTGGCCTAATTCCTCTAAACATAAAAAAACTTGTTATAATTCATGATGTAGCCCCTGAACTGTTTAAATAGACAAATTTAAGGTACATACCTTTACGTTGACAGTTTAAATTTATTTATTTCATCCATGATAGAGTCGTCAAAAAAACATTAAAACAAATGTTTGTGTATTTGTTTGAATGTTATTTTTTAATTAGCTCACGCCTGCGATTTAGTCGGTGGAGTTGTTGCTCATATGAACTTAACTAGTATGTTACTGATCCGCTACAATTCTAGTAACAGTGTATTCGCTAGATTTATTGCTCTTGTGAACCAGGCCTTAGCCTTCTTTTTTTCTGCGACCAGGGTATTATTTATTGGCTCAGCTTATTTTATTTATTTTACTTTAACATTGGAGCAAGCCATAGCTCAAGAGGCTATTACATACTCCTAAAACCTAAAAACTGCTGTGATAACTTTTTGTTGACATTTTGTGTATTCAAATTACCATATTTTTTTATCTTAAAATATAAAAAGCTATTTTGTATGTTATGTAATAAAAATTTTGTAAAACTGCACAGCTAACTGTACCTAACTCACTTGAGTGATAACATTTGTAATTAATTACAATTATCTCTTGTTATAGAGACTGGAAATTCAAACATCCCAAACGAAGAACATACAGCATTCGTACAGCCAAAGTTGGAAACAACAGCTTATTTTCAAAAGAAGTTCTTTACACACTCTTCCTGACCAATGTGTTGTCCCTGCTGCTTGGTACAGGTTTTGGGTAAGTTAAACTCACAACACTCATCTATTTACTTTCATCGTTTTGAATATATCTACTTTGTTGCTAAATTTTGATAGATAAATGTTCCAGATGAAATTGTTTATATTTAAGGTTGAGGTCTGAAAATGTGGGCAATTAAAATAGGCCTATCAATTATGAGAGAAATAAAGTGTATTAACCCTAGATCTGGCGCTGGTCGATTATCAACCACTAAAACGCAAGTCCTCAGTGGCACTGGTCGATTATCGACCAAGACGACATGGGTCGGGTTTTCTATTATTAAATTATGAAAACCAGTTTAAATCGCAATGAATCTTATACCATTAGAAAGATGAGATTCTGAGGATTCATTTTCATGTATAAAACATTATTGAGCGAGTATTATATAGCGAGAAACATAGTTTGAAAAACTAGGGAGTTCAAAATAGATTTTGGCGGTGGAAAGTTTTGGTCACCTGACTTCAAAAACAGCTGTTTTTATCTAATTTGAACCAACTCGCAACAAAAAGCTGCGAAAAATTGTAGAATTGCAATAATAAATTGACTGTTGACAAATATGTTTGTGGTTTGGTTCATTGAAATAAAGATCAAAATGTTTCTATTTCATGTCCTCTTCCCGTTGCAAAGCACGAGTACAACAGCAAGTGATATTATATGTGAGAAATTTTGGATGGATGTTTGTGACAAGTAAACGCGAAACATACTAAACCGACAGGGTTGAAATTTGGTATGATGATAGCTCACATTCCCGATTAACATATAGACTTGTTCTTATCTCAAAAATCCTTTTGGGCTCCGCCCCAGTGGCTCTAGGGTTTCCTATGTTAACCTTATGAGTATTCATATTTAAAAGGAATTAAAGAATTTAATCAGCTGTTTCAACTGCACAAGTTGGTTCTATGATAATAAATAGCATTAAAAAATTATACGGTTTTCAAGCTTCAAACGGTGTCTCGGGTATTCAAATTATTTTTAAATCAAAGTGCTAGGTCAAAGTTTTTGCTAATGTAGTCATCAAACTTTAGACTGCACCGCTAACAATGTTTTTTAACCCCCTAGTACACGCGCGGCTAATAATAATACTGTAACACCAGTACACACGCGCAGACTGACAGTCCGCGTATACTTCTTACTGGAAACACTATTTTGTTTACCTAATAAAGTTGATATAGCATCAAATTTTCAAATAATCCAATATAGGTAGATATAGATAAATTTCATAAAAATTACAAATATCTCAAATAGAATACTGGTACCGGTATATTGTGTTGAAAACCATCCAAACCAAATCAGTCAATCGCTGGCCTGTTCTTTATCCTCTTAAACATGATGCGCCTATCTTTACAGTCTTGTAGCTCAGGGCCAACTGACGCTAAGACGGTCAAAACATCGCCATTGTCCTTGGAAAGGTAGTAGGGGAAGGTAGATGGGGCGTCATGTCATTCGCTTGCGGATTTACTTATTTCGGATATGCGGACTCTGAGTCCACGGAGTGTGTACTCGAGGGTTAAATCATCACGTTATTGGAATAGTCATAAAGCCAATAAATATTGTTTTGCATGGAGATTTCTATGGTAAAAATTTCATAATTCTAAATTTAAGGGAAAAGTTCAAGTAACTAGTTCCTCACCCCAAGTTTAAGTAATTTGACAAATACATACTCGTATAAGCCAGATTAGCACCCCAGGATCTCATGTTTTGCATCTTCACAATCTCAATCACTTGATGTACAGTACCGGCCACGTAAAGAGAGAAAATGTCCAGGTAGACCCGGTCAGGCCTAATCCGCTGTTGTCAAAACATAGCTATTGTTGTGAAACCAAAATTAGCATACCAATAATAATTAAAAGGAAATTTGTCTGTAAATGTGACTAACACGCTGACTATCGGGGTGGTGCTAGACCATACCTTAGGTGGAGTGTGCTGGGAGGGCACTGGGCACTTGCTAAACACTCAATTGATTTTTTTTTTACAGAATGTGGCTAAGTCGGCGAGGTCTCACTTTTTCACCCATCAGCCTGGATTGATTTACGAAATCAATATTTTACTTTGTAGAAGGAGCAGTTTTTTAGTTTCTGGTCGTGTTTGAGGCTATTTAATGCATTTTAATTTTAATCAAGTTAACCTGGAGGTACGAATAATTTACACCAGTAATATTATATTGATTAATTAAGATTATTCTATAACCTTTTTTTCTATTTTCAATTTCTGATGTTTTTGTCATAACATTGATTTATGGTTTGTTTTTAATTTACTTTTTATAAAAGGACAAACACATAAAATTTATTTCATTAGTAGAAATTGGTTTATGAAGGTTATAGAGTAAGTAACTTCTTTTGGCCTGTGTAGGTCTAATGTAGTATGCAGTATACCTTGGTTTATCTGGACCTGAGTGGCTGGGTCATATTTATGTCACTGTTGTTGATTGTAATTGTGCACTTTCTGACTACTCAAGGGGGCTCTCTGGGGTAGATCCAATCCAAGTAGTACAGCAATACAACATGTTTTGTACGTACATTACACCAACTGCTTTGTAGTTGTGTCTGTTGTCATCCCACAAGGGAACCCACATTCATCTCAGAAATCATAGTTCTTTATTTGTACATTGATTAGCAATATACATTGATTAACTCATTGGTTGGACAAATTATTGAAAATCTTGATAAACCAAGGTTTACTGTAAATAAAGAAATTTAAGATATTTCTTTGAGATTTTTTGTTTTGTTTTGAATTATTATACCTATTTATATACATAATATGCATGCTACTGATAAGTTTTGTTTTTCTTATTTGTTTTTCATAATTTTTACATTTCAATTTTTGATTGTTCTTTCATAATATTATATACTTATTTAAACTGTTCAAATATTAATACTTATAGTTTTTATAAGCATAATAATAGTAGTAATTATCATTCAATGTTCTAACCAAGATGCATTTTAACTTTGTAAATATCATTATCTTCTTCCTTGCTGTATTTTAAATATGATTCAATCATAATGTGTATGGAATTGTGAAATGAAATGTCAGTTTCAGATAAATCTTTTTTTAGAAATAAATTTTGCATTTTTCTTGATTTCGTGTCTTTGTCTCTTGGTTTTAAGAATTAAGCTCAGCACATTAAACTCTAGCATGAAAAATTAATTGAATCTGCTAAATTATCTTTTTAATATAATGTTGGTGTTAAAATTTACACACTAGTGATTTAAGGGAAGAATTTAATACCTTTACATTTGTTCAAAGTATTATTATGATATCAAGGTCTGAAAGTTATAAATGGAAATAAGCAAACTATCTTTATTACAATACATTTGTAACGGGATTGTCATTGCTGTTATGTTAGAATGCTATAGGGAATCAATCATTTAGATGGGATCGCCACCTAAGGTGTGAATTTTAACCCAAATAAGATTGAAGGATGAGTGTAGAATGGAGTGTGATGACCTGTGTAGCTTTGTTACTGACTAATACCAGCTGTTTCATTAGTCAGGATCATTTATTTAAAGCCCAATCCATGATCAGGAACAGCTGGTTCCAGTTTTGAACCATCTGACAATTGACTTTTCTCAGAATTGTTAGGCGAGCACTATAACCAATCAGCTACCTAACCAGTCAATCCATCTACAAAAATACAGTATCCTTGTATCTAAAGTATGCCCTCATAAGTGCGCTAGTAAAAACAAACCAAACAAGGATATCTAAAATAAAAGTATCAATTTACAGTAGCAAGAGAAAATCTAAATCATGAAAAGGGGTCTTATACTCTATTCAACAAAATAACAGAAAATTGTAAAAATGGATTGTAAAAGCAGTACACTGCTAAAATCGTATATTAAATTTCTACAAATTTTGTTAGGACAAAGTCTGTATCAACAAATAATTCTATTATAAATATTGTAAAAAACAAAAAGGCCAACTTGGTTTTATCAATAGTTTTTGTGAGTTGTGACTGCTAAAACATGGTCACGCAAAGACTGGTGTAAATTATCATCCTCAGACCATGGACTGAAGCCAGTGGAATAAAATTATCAAACATATACAGAGAATTCTAGTTACAATCTAATATTAGCATAAAACTGAACTATTTGCATCCACACGTTAGGTTGTGGAACTTTGTTAATTCAATCCAGATTTGAACAGTTTTCAAAGAGTGAAGTGATGAATGTATATCTGTGATTAAAAGATTTTCTGTATTTCATACTATTCGTTTATTATTTTATCGATTAGCAGTTTATTATTTATTCAACAGTTGTTTTAGCTGTTCCTTTGTATATTTTGGAAGTGTGTAATTCTTTTGTGATTAATAGGGATTTTCCACTTGTACCATTACTTATTCACATACATTTGGAATTTGTATTGTGTTTTATCAGGTCTCAAGGAATTACTATTGTGATATGATCGTTAATCTGGCTGTAGAAGTGACCGAACTATAGTTTCACAAGTACTCCTGTGAAATTTTTAACGACTTTTACAGCTTTTTGAATATGTCCTTTTTTTATTGGATTTACCAAGACATCAGCACTGTGTAGTAGACTGGTGTTTAGATCATAGTTGCTTCTAGAAAATACAATATTATATTTACCTACTTTAATATATCTCTAACATTTTACTTGAAATCTATATTCTTGTACTCTAATAAAACTGTCTGCTAAGACTGAGCCTAGCACTTTAGTCATTCGATTAACTTATTGGCACAAATCTGTACTGTGAGCGTCTAAAATTAATTGCTTAAATCAAGTGCTTGTGTAGTTAAGAAGGTTATTTGGTTTTGAAGACTTAATTCATTTATATTTGTACAGTTTGTATACCAGAATAAATTATTTGTATATGGATTAGTAAAGTGTTTTTATGATCCAGTTGTATATCATATTGTAAATATTTTTTCCACAAGTATTTCTTTTTACATAGGGGTAATGCATAAACCCAGAGGATACTGTGTGGGACTCACACCCACTAAACCCCCACCAGCTAGAGTATCCAGGCTGGAACACTTATTAGTCCGGCATCTATTGGTGATCGAGTATGGACTGAAAGTGTAATGTATTTTGACTTGGGGGACAATTGCCGATTGTTGTTGGGGGCAACTTTGACAAATCAAAACCGAAATTGTCACCCTCACAAAAGTGCACAACTTGGTGGGGATGGGTGAAGTAGCATGGGGGGTGCGTTCTAAAACACCACTCATGTTTTGCGAACTAGACATAAAATAAAGATGAAGGGTGTTTTATAACACAAATTATAAATTATATTCTTTTAGGAAAAGTTTTGTGAAGAAAAATCATGTATCAGCGATAAAAAATCTGTATCCATGTACAAGACCGTTTTTTCCCCGAGTGTTTGTCTCTTGATGCAAACAACTTATATGGCAAGGCCATGTCTCGATGTTTGTATCTAGATGCAAATAACTTGTATGGCAAGGCCATGTCTCAGTGTTTGCCTCTTGATGCAAATAACTTATATGGCAAGGCCATGTTTCAGTGTTTGTCTCTTCATGCAAATAACTTATATGGCAAGGCCATGACTCAGTGTTTGTCTTTTGATGCAAATAACATATATGGCAAGGCCATGTCTCAGTGTTTGTCTCTTGATGCAAATAACTTATATGGCGAGGCCATGTCTCAGTGTTTGTCTCTTGTTGCAAATAACCTATATGGCAAGACCATGACTCAGTGTTTGTCTTTTGATGCAAATAACATATATGGCAAGGCCATGTCTCAGTGTTTGTCTCTTGATGCAAATAACTTATATCGCGAGGCCATGTCTCAGTGTTTGTCTCTTGTTGCAAATAACCTATATGGCAAGACCATGACTCAGTGTTTGTCTTTTGATGCAAATAACTTAAATGGCAAGGTCATGTCTCAGGGTTCGTCTCTTGATGCAAATAACATATATGGCAAGGCCATGTCTCAGTGTTTGTCTCTTGTTGCAAATAACCTATATGGCAAGACCATGACTCAGTGTTTGTCTTTTGATGCAAATAACTTATATGGCAAGGTCATGTCTCAGGGTTCGTCTCTTGATGCAAATAACATATATGGCAAGGCCATGTCTCAGTGTTTGTCTCTTGATGCAAATAACTTATATGGCAAGGCCATGTTTCAGTGTTTGTCTCTTGATACAAATAAATAACATATATGGCAATGGCATGCATCTTTTCAAACTGAATCTGACCCGATTTTTCGGATATCTGCACATCTCTAGTTTTTAGTTTTGTACCTGGATGATAAGCTAACGGCCTATAATCTCGTCTCAAAAATATCCCGTTAGTATTTTATTTTAATCTCACCCGATGCTTCGTGATAAAAAATAATAAAAGTATGATTTAAATTGGCATTCTGGGAATTATGTTTTTTTTAACCCGCCCCAAATTTTTCAAGATCCGGATCCGGATCCAGTACCGACATTTTCTTGGACTGCCCATCACTAATTAATATTAAGTTGTATTAATAGTCAATGATCTTACTCTAGGCTGGAAACAATCTCTCTTCATGTCTCTTAAGAAAAATTTACACAATAATGATTATTATATGTTGTCCAAACTCAATAAATCTATTTACCTAACCCGCCATGTTAAACTTCCCTATCCCAAGCGTAAAGTTTCAAAAACTCAGTCGGTGAAGTAATGAAACCCATTCAAATAACATTGAGTGCTCAACTTAATAAAATATACCTCTATGGAGCCAACATCAACACTAGAAATCAGCTGTGCCCTTGAATGTTATTGTTATGCCTTAAATTATTTTCCTAACAAATCAAATCAAATCAATTTATCGTTGTAGACATTTCACAATGCATTAACAATAGTCACAAAATGCATAATGCTGTTATTAAATACAGCAAATGAATACTTACATGTAATCAATATAATATCAATATAATCAATCAATCAATATAATAATACAGTACAATAAAAAATTATATATATACATATAAAATACAGGCACAATTAAATAGAAATATTTTGGCATGAAAAAAAAAACTCCACTGTATACGGGCATTTTTGTATTAAATATGTTTTTATTTTTGATTTGAAAATTTTTTTCAAGGACAACTCCCGAGACTCCACTGATAAATTATTAAACAATTTAGCTGCCATGTATTGAATGTTTGTTTGACTGTTTGAGTATTTACAAAGCACTGTTTGTAAGTTGTCTTTAAAACTGGTTTCATAATTATGTTTATTTGAATTTTCTGAAAAAAATTCCAAATTATTTTTTGACATACAACAAAACTTGAAGAATATATATTGCAGGTAAAGTTAAAATTTTGAAATGTTTAAATATAGGTTTACAGTGAGTTCTAGAGTGTACACCACTTACAAGCCTTATCGCCCTTTTTTGCAATTTAAATAACTTTTTGGAATATGATTGGAAACCCCACACCAATATTCCATAACTCAATTAACTATGTATCTGTGCATAATATACTGTTCATCATAACATTTTGTGTTACACAACCTTTTAATCTTCTTAAACAGTATACACCTTTCGACAGCTTGGTTGAGGTTATGTCAATGTGATCCTTCCAATCTAGTTTTGAATTTAAATTAATTCCAAGAAATTTTAAAGGTTTTATCTCATTTAATAGGGGCTGCCTATTTGAGAAACAAATTTCCAAATCTTGCAATTTATTTAGATTTAGGCATAATCTATTTGCATTACACCACTGATAAATCAGATCTGTAGCATTTTTCAGGATGTGATTCATTTGATCTCTAGATTCAGAACAAACATTCAAGCCTAGGTCATCAGCGTAAAGAAAACTATTAATATTTTCACCTAACAAATTGTATGGCAGATCATTGATGTAGATATTAAACAGTAGTGGCCCTAAAGATGAACCCTGAGGAACACCAACGTTTATATTATTTCCTAGAGATAGCTCATTTTTTAAACTAACAAATTGTTCTCTATTTTTTAAATACAAATTGATAAGTTTAATTGAATTGTCTTGAAAACCATAAAATTTTAATTTGTGTATTAATATGTTGTGATTAACAGTGTCAAATGCTTTTGACATGTCAAAAGAGCGAAAACAAACCAGTCTTTTGTTCTCTATATTTTTAACCACATCTATGACTAAACTAGCAACAGCATCATTTGTGCTCTTCCCAGAGCGAAACCCAAACTGCCTATCAGTAAACATTTTATTACTTAAAAAGTATTCATACACCTGGTTATGTTAACATAACCTAGCTTTTGTTTGTAAAAGAACGTTACTGTTAGAAGATGAGTGAAAGGTATACGTTGTGTTTTAAAAGTTGTGTTTCCAAGTAAAAATACCATGTATTTTATTGTAATCAATAAAAACAGTTCACTTACTGTAAAATCAAACCAGTTTACATTTTGAAGATTAACTTATTTACACCCCCGTCCTGTATATTGTGGGGACATGAAAAATATTGTACGTAACCCCTGTATATTGTGGGGTCAGGTAAAATCTTGTACATTACATATTATGCAAGAGCGTGTTTACATCACTTAGGTGAATTAAGCACTGCGTGATGTAAAAACGCTCTTACTACACTTGTAACCTAAATAGCTATAAAAAGGTTAAAAAACCTGCTATTAGGTAATTCAATCTTGTTGAAAACACAACTAGTTTCGGCTCCTAAGAGGAGCCATCATCAGGCTGTACAAGGACGTTTTTCTTTCTTCATACGAAGGGCATCATATTATTTAACACGAAAATAAATAAAAATGTGTTTATAACACTGATATTGGGAGGTGTGTGGTTGCTGTAAAAAGGATTTCATGAACAATTACTTAACATTTTACTAAAATATGCTATTTTTATAGCATAAACTAAATCAATGGTTTAAAATATTAATGTTTTCAAGCTACAGGCCTATGAAATATCAAGACTCATTTTCTGTGAACCAATTGAACATTTTCAACCAATTGATAGAAAAATACAATTTTATTTAATGAGAATTTAATTTATTTGACTTATTGTCTGACACTGATAAATATATGTGTTTTTTTTTATATTTTTACCCCTTTTAAACTTTTATTGTATTTAAAAAACTTAATATCTCTTTAAAGTTGTTTACTGTTTGACAATAGTTTGCAATTTTGGAAGGTTTTATAGGTTTGCAAAGGATATTTTTTTTACTATTCATCACAGTGGGGGGGCTTTTTTGGTAGTTAGTTTTGTTTCTTTGATTTTTTGTGTGTTCTTTAAACATTTTTAAGTCCTTTGAAATATTGTTATCACCTCTTGCAATTGTAGCGGCTGAATAAGAAGTACATAAAAAGACACTAGACTTAATAGTGTCAATCATAGAAATGTTATCAGTTTTTGCCAAAAATAAATGTTCTACATCTGATTTGGTTTTTTTAACACTATTTTTCAGATTTGATTGGTAATCTTCATGAAACTTGTTATTACGAGTTTTGACTAAAGTTTGTGTATAGTATATTGCTGAATAACTGTTCTTCAGTCTAGGAAACAAATAGTTGTCAGTAATGTTCCTTTCTAGCAAGCTAACTGAATCTGCCTCGACTCTGTACATGTTTGAGCAACAAGTTAATACATGGGCTGAATTTGTATAATTCAATCCTTTTCTACTGATAGAAAGATTTTGATTAGCGGTATTTATAAGTAAACTTATGTCACAGTCCTCTTTGATTGGATTTGTTTCATTCAAAACACTTGATTTGTGGTCAAGCACTACTTTACTGATCTTGCTGTTTGGTTGATTATTGATCTTGGAAAGATTTGCTTGTTCTGTGGTTAATAAATAAACATCATCGGCCGTTTGTTTCTGTGAATTATTCTTTTGCTCTGTATTCTTTGTCTTTTCTTTACTGCTTCCGTCATTTTTGTTTTTCACTTTTTGTTCTGCTATGCTGGCTGTTCCTTCAGATCTTATCACTATTTCAACATCAAGAATGAAAGACTTGTAAGTCGCACCTTTTGAGTTTCCCAGAATTGCGTCCTCCATTGATAAAATTGCTTTTTCTCATTTATTTTTGGACATTTTAATATTAGTAATAGACTTTGATACAAACTATTGTTCCCGGATAAACCTGAAAAAGTTAATACTTGTTTTTAATTACAGTACTTGAAAATTGCAATTGTTTTGGGCCATAAAGTAGACCCCCATTGCTGTATAAAGTACAAACAGGTATTGCAATTTTTGTGATTTTCCTATAAAAAAACATACGCCTAGTTACTTTAATAGGTACTTTACTTTGAAATAGGGACCATTACTCCCACTGCTTACCCATGATAAGGGTTGTTGACAAGCTAATGGGAGAAAGTATGTGTCAGATTGCTGATGCCGTTTATTTTGTCTGTATCAAAATTCTTTCCAATGATCAATATTGTTGCATACGCTTGAATGGAAAATATTAAGAAAAAAACCAGATCAAAATTATTTTTTTTCTACAGTTACCTGACAAAGTGGGCTGATTATGGCACGCCAAGTAGCTAATTGGTGCATTTACTTACTTTTGCTGCACTCATTTTTTTCCACATTCCAGTTATCCACAACAGAAAAAGTGTGCTTTTATTAGCCACATAATAAGTGTACGCTTGGAAATAAGTTGGCAACCCTTAAAGATACTACGACTACAATCAGCTGGTGCAGCGTTTCACATTTTGTTCAACACTTGGATTAAACCTAACCTAAAAACGTGTTGTATAGTATTTGAAAGACTTATTATTTATATGCTTAAAAACTCCAGGAAAAATATAGCCTACTGTAGAAAAAATATAATGTGTAACGCTTCGCACACTAGTTACACAAATAACCATTGTGTAACTAGTATACAAAAGTGGCACTTTGCTGCACATGAGAGTATAATGTTTACGCAAAAGCCGCAGGCGAGTGTGGAAAGGTTCTTGAATGCAGCAAAGGCACTTTCCACTCGCATGACACATTACATTTTCTACAGTCACTAAAAAGCATATAAATAATTAGTCTTTCAAACACTTTACAACATGTTTTTAGTTTAGGTTAAATCCAAGCGTTGAACGAAATGGGAAATGCTGCACTAGCTGATCGTAGTTGTAGTATCTTTAAGTGTTGGCAACTTATTTTCAATCATAAACGTATTAGGTGCCTAATAAAAGCACACTATTTTGTGTTGTCTGGATGAAATACTGGAGTGTTGCAAAAAATAATCAATGCGGCAAAAAAAAAACGAATGCAGCAAAAAACAAGTACGCCAAAAGTAAATAAATGCATCAATTAATTAGCTACTTGGCGTGCTATAGCCAGTGCAAGGAAGCCCACTTTATCTGGTAACTGTATGAAAATAACTATTGTTTATTGAAATTGGTTATGATACATATGTTTTAAAATGTGATTTTAAATGTTAAATTTGGCTAGTTTTATTTCCCAGAAAGCTAATAATATGAAAAACGGTGGATTTCAATGTTAAAAAAATATAAAAAGTCATTTTCTAAAGTAATTTTTACAGTAATTTAAAAAACATATACTGTACCCCTAATAAAGAGACAAAGTTTTAAAAGATAAAAATGCATTACAGTATGAGCCAGGGCAGGTGGCATTCCCTACCAGGCTGCTTTGACTACAACAGGTTTGATCTGTTCAGGATGAAAATGGGAAGCTCCCTATAAAACGCTAATAAGATAATCTGTTTAGCTTTATATTTCTGAAATAACTAATCATTGTGTAATGATTTTTTTAACTACTGTAGCTATTTAACCACATATTATGCATTTAGAGGATATGGAAGCTAGGTAAACACATTTCAATTCTTAATTTTATATTTTATATTGAGTGTCTCTTATGTTACACTTTTTTTATTCCTTTAAAAAAGCCAAATTTATGAGCCTGTATTAAGAAAGTTACTGATCAATGTTTCTTCATTGATACTGTAAATGAATCGGTTGTATTTCTGTCTGTTTGTTGGTTTCGTAGATGCCTTATGATTTGTTACTGCACTGTTTATGAACACACCGGTCTTGTTATCTGATAATTCATAAAATACACGTTTTGGATCAATATTTTTCTCCCTTTAACGATTTACTTATTATTTTAATTCAGTACTTAGTTAAATTTTCATCTAGGTTGAATCGTCAGATTTCTTTTTCATTAGTACTCACTAGTCTAACCTTATCATCATTTCCATCCTTATTAATACCATTGTATTCTTCAAATATTACAGACATTTTAAAAATGATGTAAGGAAATGTTTGCTGATTACATCCAGTTTCATTATCATTGCTGTTGTCAGTATTTTGATTTTTATCAATATAGTTTCTTGAGTGTGTATGGTTGGAGCTAACATCAACTATATAATTAGGAAATATATCATTTTTGTTTTTGTTTTGCAGTTTGGTTTTTTGTCCAATGAAATTAAATCTGTGTTCACAGTTAGTTACATAGTTTCTTATAATTCTTTCTTCAAAAATGTTTGCACTCTGAGAATCTTGATTAACCATTAGAATTCTCTCTTTTTCATCATTAACTGGGGCTGGATTTTTATTATCTGATTCTGTTAATTGAATGTAGGAGGTAACCGTCCTTTTATTTTCCAAAGGATTACAATGTAAGGCATTTAAATTGGGCTCACATGTATCTTCTTCATATCTAGAAATTGACTGATGATCATTCCAACTGGAAAAATTATTCTTAATTGCCAAACTAAAATCGTCTTTTTTGTTTGGATGTAACATGTTTTTATTTGTTATGGAAAATGATGAATTGGTCAAAGTGTTTCTATCTTGATTATATTGAATTGTTTCAGAATGTAACTGTTCATTATTTGATTGAAATACTATCCGATGTGTTTCATATTTAAAACCTGTTGTTTGTTGTATATCTAGGTGATGACTTTTCGCTGATTTTATGTCTTCAACATAAGTTTTTACGGTGGAATCATTGTAGTCATGAGGCAGACATTGTAAATTAATGTTTTTTTGTTTAGATTTGTACTCCCATAGATTATATGAGGACTGGTCCACCGTTTTTATAATATAAGGGAATTCATGTAAAGATTTGTTTGCTAAAAATATGTCATGGCTATAATTGTTTATTCTAGAGTATTTTTTACCTGGAAATATAGGACTAACAAAAGATGATGAGGTAGTTTTTTTCTGGCACTCCAACGAATTATGTTTTTCAAGAGTGGAATATTTACTTTCTGAATCAATTGAAACAGTGGTTGTTCCATAGTAAAATGCTTTATATGTATTTAAGTTGGACTTGAAAAAATTTGAAACCTGGTTGGGTGTTGCAAAAGGCTCTTGGAGATTACCGTGAACTGGATATAACTTCTTTTGTATTCTGTATTCTTTTATTTGGTGTTGACTAAATCTGTCATTAAACATATTCATGTCATATTCCAAATAATTAATAACATTTTCTCTTGTAGAAGATTTAGTTATAATAAATGTATTGCTTTGTAATTTTTTGGGTTTTGGTGGGGTGCCAATATGACTTTTCAGTACATCGCCATGAGAATGACAATGTGTACTTACATGTCCAGTCATCCTTGTTATCCCAGATACATCCATTGCTAAATATCTGTCAGTTTGTACAGCAACATTGTTAACATTTTTTGCTTTTGATATTGGAACTTCTGTGTCACTAGATTTTGAAATTGTTAAAACTTTCTCAGATATGGATGGCAAAACCCTTTTTCGTTCCAAATCTGAGTTTGTGTTGGTTATGTCGCTATTGTTACAAACTTGTGATATATTTGTGTTGAGATGGCTGTCCCAACAGTATGAATCAGAATTAACATTTTCCTCATGGCCAGTTCCAAGACACTTTGAGCATTGACAGATTTTACGAATTACACAGTTAGCTTTAGTATTAGAGCACTTGTCTTGTGCTAAACTGGCAAATAGATCACACCCTGAGGAGTCATCATGTAATTTATGTTGTTTTACACGGGAATAATCAACTTCCTTAGTTATATTGTGTAATCCTTTCAGGCCAACCTTTTTACCTTTTGAATCTCTGGCACTTTTGTTGCTTATCTTTTTCTGAACTGATAAATCATGTACTTCTGAGTTGTTAATTTGACATTTAGATGTGTTATTTTTCAGAAATGTTGATATTTTACAGAACTGACTTTGAGACACATCCAGTTCTACAACATTTTCAAAAATGTTATGAGAAGAAATAAAATTCTCTAACATTGAATGTTCTGGTTGGTATATTTTTTCAACAGTCTTTGAATTATCTTTTGGTTTGTATAAAATAGTAGAATACTTCCCTCCTAGTAATTGATTTTTCTCAATCATCTTTAAATCCATATACCCATTATTTTTCTGCATATTTTCAGCCGCATGACTTGCTGATTGAGCTGAATAACCTCTTGTTGAAATCAATTTTTTTGAAACCTTCTGATTGGTCATGTAACGTCTGTAACAGTCTTGACATCTGCAGCTATCCTCAAATTGAATCCTCCTAGGTTTGGTGGTAGGTTCAGTAGATTCATACGTTTTTAGATTTTCAACTTTTTTTACTTCCTCTGAAGGATAAGCTCTCTTTACATTTTTTGTTTCACAAATGCTGTGAGTATGTTTAAATCGACCTTTAGTTTTGGAATTCCGTTTATTGTTCTGGCTATGACAAATACATTTGTCTGCTTTATTATTCTTCTCAACCACCCTAAGCCTTTTAGAGTTAAATTTAAATAAATTGCAAAAGCAAGTTCCATAATATCCTATAGATTTTGTATTTGGATTGTTCTGTTTGAGAAAAGAAATTTTTCTTGCCAAGGAAATTTTAAAGCGATTTTTTGTTTGAGTTAAACTAGAGGATTGTTGAATCCTCAATGGTTGGGAATGCGACTTGCTCAGTTTTTTACATATTTGTTTTTTATGTCTCACGACCATTGGGCAGTGAGTGCGACTTATTGAAAACTCAAGCAAGTCTTCAGTACTAAGAGGAATTCTTTTTGTGATATAATCTTTCTCTTTTACATAATATTTTTTTTTAACATGATTAGTAGATTTACCTAAATTTTCACATTCATATTTTGACAGAATTGATTGTACACAACTGACCAGTGTATGGGCATTCGGTTGGTGTGAGCTCGATTTCAAAATTTTCTTAGTTGACATTTTATTTCCTACTCCTCTATGACAGGTCCTTAGTTATGATTGACTTGTTGTATCATCTGGGGAACTGCTAGATTCTCTTTGTAGAATAGCAGTGTTCCTTTTTTGTTGTTCTGCACTACCAGTGCTGGCTGATAATTGTATCAATTGTTTTTACAGTTCCTAACTTACCTGTATACTGTACAAACTTACCATTACTATTTTTGATCTCGCAAAAAAACACACCAATGATGGTAAAAAAAAATACTCAAATGATCGGCTAATAGTTCCCTTAGAAGTTATGATTTGTTTGAACTAAGTCGGTTTGGTACAAGCGGTCTGTTAAATTGATGAAATTGTAACACGCAAGGTTACTTTGGAGTGTAAGAAGGAACAGATGAAAGCTAAATCCATCTCAGCTTTTAGAAATTTTAACTAATACCTTCAACACTATGTGTTCCTATCTACAGTCTAGCTAGAGGTAAATTAGCACAATATGGGAAAAAAAATTTTGCATTAAATTCTACACTTAATCGCTAATTTATAATTTGAACTAATACGAGGAATTTCATTAACTTACAAATTTAGAACCACAATAATCACAAAAAAATGTTGTCACTTCCAATTGATGAAAACAAATAAATTAATCATATGTTTTTTTTAGTTTAATTCTTTTATCCACACATTTAAATGAGTAAGATTTTTTATGATTTTTCTATCAATGTAATAATTATTTAAAATTGATTTGCTTTATGTCTTTTAGCATGTATTTCAACACTATTAATACTTGGTGTGTTACGAGCCGAGCTGGCCTTACGCACCTGTGAAAGGTACAGCCGCACAGGGCCCCAAACTATAGGGGCCCGGTACTTGGGGCAAGAAAAGTTCTTAAAAGTCAGTAAATAATATGCAGATTGAATATTGGAGTGCAAAATATTAGTTTTAGAATAATAGTCTAAAGTACAATAATACCCCCGCCGCAGCAAACCTGCTGACTGAATTTCCATTTGTCTTAATTGATTTTCAATTAAATCTATTTAAATAACATTAGAACGAGTACCTAGGTTTGCTGCTTAAAAGCACGGGTCACACCAGGCCCGTCAGTGGTGAATTAAAAGAAGTCGCTACTGTCAGCTTAATGTGACCACAAAATTCGCAGCTGGCGCCACCAACCGGCGAATACTTGTCAGCGGCTGGCGAAGTCGGACATGTTCAACCTCTAGAAGCGTGCCAGCGGCGACCAAAGGTAATTTTCAACCTGGTTTCATACAAAAGCGCCTACTGTATCTCATTTTTAGTGAATTTCCCATATAGGGAACAAGCTATTGCCGTAGGTCTCATAGTAAGAGCTGGACCTGGGACCGATTTACTTTTTCATTTAGATGTCCCCGGAGACCAAAAACAACCATCCGTTCATATTCATATATATATATATATATATGTGTGTGTGTGTGTGTGTGTCTGTGTATGTCCGTTAGCACGATAACTCAAGCAAAAATAATCCGATTTTATGAAATTCGGTACAAACGTGTAAACCTACGTTTATTGAACGATTTCACGAACCAACGTGATCGGACCGGGATTTTATGGAGTAGAGTGAAAATTCGTTTCTCTCATTTTTGACCCTCAAAACATAACATTTTCTAACTTCTCTCTAAAACATTTTGAAGAGCTTAAAAAACAAATAATATTTAGTTTATGTTAACACGTTCACTGCGTTGTATATTTTTCTGCATTATTCCAATGGTGCGTTACAAGATCTACAGGTTTTGTCTGCTATGATTACCCATGTGCGGATACAAGACCCCGAGATTACATTGCGCAGTAATCATTTTTGCGTATAACCTCACAAAGAAAGGAGAGATTTTTTTTATGACAGCATTTATTTCTGGTTTAATGATGACATTATTCACAGAAGTGTTAACAAAATAAACAAGAAAATAACAAATAAGAACATCGTGGGTTTGCCCAGACCTGAGACACCTGTAACATAATTAATTTAGATAAAAATATTTAATCTTATTTAGGTTTCATTCATCCAATAGATCTTGAGGAAGCCTTCGACGTAGCCTCCTGTTCTCAGTTGCTTCGCCAAGATGAAAAGCTAGTGCACCAGGAACATTTGTCTAAAGACTTCAGAAATTTGGTGGTGGTTTTTTCTATAAAGGCCGAGATAGACTCCACTCCTACCTCCTCATGTAGCCTGTTTCTTACAAACCAGGGAGCATTCACAGCAATTCTAAGAATTTTGTTTTGGATCACTTGAATTTTGAAGAGTTTGTTTTTGATATAGATAATCCCCAGATAGGAGATGCATACGTAATCAAAGGCCGAATTATTGATTTGTAGATTAGAACTGTACAAGCTGGCTTCAGAGTAGATTTCCTATTGATCGAAGGGAAAAGCTTTGCTAGGCGTGCATAACCTTTGGGACAGTTTTTTATTAACGTGGCAGTTCCAATTAAGCTTTTTGTCCAGCCAAACTTAAAGATATTTTATGGCCTGGTCATCAGGGTTCCACGGTAGAAAGTGACCATATATTTGAATTCCATGTGGCAATGTATTTTTTTTTTCAAGGAAAATGTTTTGGTCTCACATTTAGTTGAATTTAGGTGAAATTTCCACTTGTAGAACCAATCAATGAGTGCATCCACAGAGTATTGCAGAGAATACATGGCCTCGTGGATGTCGGAATGTTGGCACAGGATAGCAGTGTCGTTGGCGTAGAGAGCTAATGAGGTGTCTTCTGGAAGAGGGATGTCTGCCATGTATAGATTGAACAATACAGGGCCCAATATTGAACCTTGTATTTATTCTTTTCCTACAATAATAAATTAAGAAAAATATAAATGTTATCTGTTTATTTACGAATTCCTTATAATCCTAACCGTAGTAAAATACATGGTGGAAGGAAAATGGTGGATAGATGTATCCTTCCACCATGAGTAAAATATATATTTTATCTTTCTATTATCACTTTTTATACTAATACGTTTCCTTACGACTGATTTCAGGCTAAATAAAATACAAATTAAATATGTTTACAAATTACTGTATTTATTTTGTTATAATTTTGGGGTTGGGCAATGACCTCGAAATGAGTGCGTGCCACAGTGAGTCGAGTTGGCGGGGGGAAGCGTTGGGTGCAACCTTGAAGCTATAATTTGACTTGCACCACTTCCCTAAAGGGCTGGGAAAGGGGATTCCAATCGCAAAACAAAAACCAATGATACAAAGTTGTTTATCGGAAATTCCTTGTCCGGTTTGACGATTATTTAGCAATTGATTTGTGTATGATTTAGTAGGGACCAGGATAAATATTCGAATTAATGTACCGGTAATGTTTTGCTTTATACATCAAAATACAACATTGCACAATCGTGATATTTTTAGGTCATTTACCAGTGACCTTTAATACGCATCCATTTAGTGCTGTTTTAGAAGAGACACACGTCGATGGTTAAAAAGATTTTTAATCCCGTAGTTGAAAACGATTAATATGTAAACCCATAAAACATTAGATAACTCATAAAGATAACAGCATGAAATGTCTTTATTCCTTCTCTTTGTTCTTTAATTATTTCTTGGTTAATAATCACCCCATTAGCCTCATGCGGTGCTTGGAACAACTATTTTTGATACGAGACCCAGAGGTCTCATATCGTAATACAGTAAAAGTTTATTACTTTCAGTGCGTTACAAGATCTATTTACCTCGTTAATTTAATGTTTACTATAGTTGATACATCAAGAAAAATGCATTATATATGTACAAGTTTCATTTCTTTACGATAACTGTACGCCAAAATATCGATGTCGTAACTTTTTGGTTACCGGTAGAAGCTCTTTAACTGTTCCTTTTTTTGTATGCAAGGCCTGGTCCACTAACGCCTCTTTGTGCGGTTACGCATTTTAAAATAAAGTTCTTTCTCTTTCATAAACATCCACAATAGTTGAATAATCGATTAAGAACTCGTTACGAGGTCCCACGGAGGCTGATCACCAGCGGCTGACAAGCAGCCTAGTGTGACCCGTGCTCAAGCCGTTGCTTGGTGGCGCTGATGCTGATACTAGCCGCTGATCATCAGCGGCTGGAGAGCAGCATAGCACACTCGTGCTTAAAGGAAAATTAGGTAGGAAATAGTACTTAACCTATATTATTGCATATAATTTAAACAGGTGTCGGGTTGGCAGCCCTGCGCTGGGAGAGAGAACTCGTGGTTCATGTCGTGTGCTATTTAATTAGTGATTAACTGTATTTATTGAACCATTTCGCAGTATTTTCATGGAGGTTTAAGTTATATTTCAATATCTGATTAACTGGAAACTGGTTTCACAGTCGTTTGTGCGTGGTATCAGCAGTAATTGGTGATAACCTGACCGCTGCGGTTCGTGTACGACCAACGTGGTTTGCCTCGCCAGTCTCATCAGGACGGTAACGGACGTGAGTGATTATCGAGTTACTTATATTACATCATAGTGCCTTTAGTGAATAGATGACCGAAAAAACTATCAAACAATTTTTTACCCCTCAAAGTGACAGGAAGCGTCAAAGATCGTATTCGTCACCCGAGACTGCGGCGGTTTGTGCGATGCCTGTGTCAAGTGAAAAGGTAGGCGACTGGACTCGCGCCGAACTCATGGACGGCTTAGGCCAACTATTAGACAGTAAGTTGACTGTGTTTGAAGCGAAATTAGAGTCTAAACTAGCTACTAAGGAGGACTTTTCAGATCTTTGTGCTAGAATTAATGTGCTTGAGGAAAGTAATAACAAACTTAAAGAAGAGGTTAGTAAACTGCGAGCACAGGAAAAAGCAACTGCGATGAAATTAGTGGATTTAGAAGCCCGGTCTAGGCGTAATAATTTAATTTTTAAAGGACTTAAGGGTGTAGCCCAAACTAAGGACTACAAACATTTAGTGAAACAGTTCTGCATGGACGTGTTAGGTAGTGGCGACAACATATGGATAAATCGAGCACACCCTCTGGGCAAAGACAAAAACGCAATAATCGCGCATATCCCCGACGATGCGGGCATAGACTATATAATGAGCCGGTTATATTACCTTAAAGGTACAGGATGTGTGATCCATAGGGACTACCCGCGGGAGGTGAGAGAGAAGCGATCGCATCTTGTGGCAGTGCGTAAAGAGGTAGAGCGGTTGTGTGGATGGCGCCGTATGCCGTTAGTTTTTGACCATCTCACAATAGGAAAGACGAGGTTTACGTGGGAAGAAGGCAGATTAAGAGCTGGTCAAGATGACGGTGGTCAGGTTCTTTCTACTATGCTAAAACGAGACTTTAGTGAATTCCTGGATGAACTCAAACAGAAAGGACCGGGCGGAGACCGACCGCCGACACCCCAGGCTGCAGCTTCGGATCCAGGGTCGTACGCAGAGGCAGCGGCGAGGGGAGGCCAGAGGACGGAGATCAACTCCATCAACAACGAGGACGTCCACAACGGCTAGGAGATCATCGCCAATCCCCGGACACGACAACATGGAGAGGACCGGATAAACAGCATGAGTATAGAACTGAAAATTTTAGTTTATAATGTTT